ACAGTTTTAGAACCAATTTTTATGAAGGGCAAAAGTTAAAGACAAAGCTAAATGATGAATTTCATTGCTATGGTGTTCAAATAAAGCACTCGTGATGCAAGGGTTTCTCTCCCTTTTTATTCCCTTAATTTTTGGCATAAAAGCAAAAGCATTTCTTTAAAGAAATGTCATTGTCAAATTTGTGTTCTTGGTATCAATAATGTTGCTCATGAATTAATAAACTCATCCATGCTTTTAGAAAACGCCTTTGCTGGCTAAGTACGCTACTTTATGCGTCTTGTTCGCAATTTTATTGAGAGAGCAAGAGGAAAAGCAAAAAAAAAAAAAAAAAAATTGATCCGATATGTTCTTTATCATCACTCAATGAATGTGTTTGGATTGCATTTTTGCAGAGTTTTTTCTTTTATAAGAACACACTTTATGATGTGCTGTACGTAATATAAAAAGATAATTGCAGAACATGTTTAAGAAAATTTTCAAAATTATTTTCCAAGTGTCGTATGAAGGCAGTTTTTGGTATTTCCGTAGCAAAAATACGGCCTTAATATACTGAAACAGAACACTAAATCTTCCAAGTACCATTTTCACAGTTTTGATGAAGTACTTTCTTTATTTGTTACAGAAAGTATCTCCATGATATATCTTAAAGTACATGAGCCAATCCGGGAAGCTGCATCTTGTTAAATGTTTTGTAGTTGACATGATGGCACAAATTGATTTCATGATATGGAATATAGAATCCAAGGCATTATAAATGTGTGCTGTTACATTTTTGTTTCGATACTCATGATAACATTGATGCAAAGAAGAAAAAAAAAGAAAATTATTGATGGTGTAAAGATGTCAAAATAGATAATTCCAATTCGGATTACCCTATGCATGTAAATGCTTGGCTTAATTCGGATTACCCTGTGCATGCACCCGACATCTAGGACATAAAAGCTCTATTGAATAATTAGTTATATTTGTAAATGCAATTTTAAACAGTAATGTTGGATAATATTTGCCCCGTTGGATTAGCTGTTTCTGAAGATATTTTTGAAATATTTTACTGTATCAGTGTATATGAAAAATTTTATTGTAGATATGTTTTTTGGAGGGATTTTTGAAATATATTTTGGGGTAATTTTAAAATTAAAATAATTTTATAGTACTTTGTAAAAATTAATACTACCACCCACAATCACCAATGCCACTATCTCCACCCACCACCACCACCACTATCACCACCATCCTTTCATCTTCCTCTTCTCACCCCCTTCCTCTTCCCCTTTTCTCTTCCTCCTCCCCTTCGCTTCCCCTCATACCCCGGTCCTTCCCTCCCCCTCGATCTGGTCTCGACAAGATCGAGGCCTTTGGTCTCTAAATCACAACCAGAAAATTGTGACCTTCTGGTCGCGATTTGGTCGTGACTAGAGGCCTCGATTTGGATTGGGGGAAGAGAGGAAGAAGAGGGAAGGAGGAAGGAAGAGGAGAAGGAAGAGAGAAGGGATCGTGACGGTAATGGGTGGTGCTGAGTATTGGTGATAGATGAAAAATATTTTAAAATTTATTTTTTAATCTTTTTTATGTATATTTGTGAGTTATTTTTGATATATTGTATGAATCATATGTTTTTTGAATTGTTTTTGTTTGTGAATTACTGTATTATTGTATTTGAAAAACTAATTTTTGAAAAACAAGTCAATCCAAACGGAGCCACTAGTACTGTAGTATTAGCATTTCACATTTGTTACTCCCAAGTTGTACTAGTAACCTTTCCATCAAAACAGGCACATAACGAGCTTCATTCATCAAAGTAAACACTAATACATTTATCTACTAGTGTGAATACTCGTGCTATGCACGGTGCTGGCATTATTGAAAAAGTAAAAATAAAATGGTGAATAAAAAAAGTTTAAAAATTGTACCAATACAATTAAAATGTAATATTTGTCTAACAATAGTTTGAAATATGATAGAATGTGCATATCATTCAAGAACTGCCTTTTTTCAGAAAATAGATCCTAAAAAAATAATAGAAATTTATTTTAGAAAATGAATGATATATGAACAAAAATGAATGTAATTGAATGTTGTTAAAATGAAATACTTACAAATATTATGCATTCGATTTGATAAATACAAAAATCTAGACAAAAATCTATAACTCACTACTTGTTCCGTTCTTGAAATTTTTTTTAGGGTTAAATATAATAAACCCCTTAACTTTACATATAGTTGCACTGTACCCCCTCAACTTTACATGTAGTTACACATTTGTGATTTTTTTGAAACGTGATTGTAATTTGCAAAGCTCATTTGTAGGGGTGGTTATAGGGTTAGTTTGGGGATAAATATTTTTTAATTATAAAAATGTAACATTGTATTAAAATAACATACGAATGAGCATTTGTTTTTAATTAAAGAGTAAAAAGGATTTAAAGTATAAATAACAAAGTATAAACGGTTTATGAAATAGATAGTGGGAATGTTTTAAATTTTAAATTTGATTGGTGATAGGGTTGGTTATAACCCACTACTATTTATGTATTAAAATAAATACAAAAATCTAAACAAAAATCTATAACCCACTACTTGTTCGGTTCTTGAGATTTTTTCTAAGGTTAAATATAGTAAATCCCTTAACTTTACATTTAGCTGCACTTTACCCCCTCAACTTTACATTTAGTTGCACTTTACCTTTAGTTGCACATTTGTGATTTTTTTGAAACGTGATTGTAATTTATAAACCTCATTTGAAGGGGTGGTTATAGGGTTAGTTTGGGGATAAATATTTTTTAATTATAAAAATGTAACATTGTATTAAAATAGCATACGAATGAGCATTTGTCTTTAATTAAAGAGTAAAAAAGATTTAAAATATAAATAATAAAGTATAAACTATTTATGAAGTAGATAGTGAGAATGTTTTAAATTTTAAATTTGATTGGTGATAGGGTTGATTATAATCCACTATTTTTTATATATTAAAATAAATACAAAAATCTATAACCCACTACTTGCTCCGTTCTTGAGATTTTTTTTAGGGTTAAATATAGTAAACCCCTTAACTTTACATATAATTGCACTGTACCCCCTCAACTTTACATGTAGTTACACATTTGTGATTTTTTGAAACGTAATTGTAATTTACAAAGCTCATTTGTAGGGTTAGTTTGGGGATAAATATTTCTTAATTATAAAAATGTAACATTGTATTAAAATAGCATACGAATGAGCATTTGTCTTTAATTAAGGAGTAAAAAGGATTAAAAGTATAAATAATAAAGTATAAATGGTTTATGAAGTAAATAGTGTTAATGTTTTAAATTTTAAATTTGATTGGTGATAGGGTTGATTATAATCCACTACTTTTTATGTATTAAAATAAATACAAAAATCTAAAAAAAAAGAATAACAAAGTATAAAAGGTTTATGAAGTAGATAGTGGGAATGCTTTAAATTTTAAATTTGATTGGTGATAAGATTGGTTATAACCCACTACTTTTTATGTATTAAAATAAATACAAAAATTTATAACCCACTACTTGTTCCGTTCTTGGGATTTTTTTTAGGGTTAAATATAGTAAACCCCTTAACTTTACATTTAGTTGCACTTTACTCTCTCAACTTTACATGTAGTTGCACATTTGTGATTTTTTTGAAACGTAATTGTAATTTGCAAAACTCATTTGTAGGGGTGGTTATAGGGATAGTTTGGGGATAAATATTTCTTAATTATAAAAATGTAATATTATATTAAAATAGCATACGAATGAGCATTTGTTTTTAATTAAGGAGTAAAAAAGATTTAAAGTATAAATAACAAAGTATAAACGGTTTATGAAATAGATAGTGAGAATGTTTTAAATTTTAAATTTGATTGGTGATAGAGTTGATTATAATCCACTACTTTTTATGTATTAAAATATACAAAAATCTAGAAAAAAGAATGAGAAATTTAGAAGCCATTGAGAGGGTCTCTGATAAAAACCCCTTCCTCAATACATATAGATATAGATTGTAGTGTGGAAATGAGAATAAGGGTTTAGGTCTATTGATCGTGTTTAAAATACACAACAACAATTAGAGTAAATCCAGTAATTAGAGGAAGGCTCTTAGAGTTTTTTCCGCACGGGAGGGGGTCATTGCCTTGCTAAATTTTAAAAAATTCACATTTGCACCAAAAGTAAAATTAAAAAATTTTAAATGTGTTATTTAAAAATTTGAAACTTTTTGCCCCAACAACAACTATAGATTACTTTATGTTGCATACTCAAGTTCAAATATGTTTTATATTAGCCCTCTCAAGGTACATGTTTTTGGCTCCCACTGAGCTCTAGTTCAGTGGGAGCTCTACATGTTTTATATTAACCACTGAGCTAAGCTCAGTGGCCACCGCCTCTCCTGGTGGGGTGGGAGGTTAGGGGTTCAACCCTTGCTTCCCACCAAATTGTCTGCCTCTCATGGGCAATTCGGTTGGTTTCAGCAAGCCTCCTTAAGAGTTGATGTGCAGTACCCGCAAGGGTCCGAGTCCCGTGGTTATCGTGTTCGGGGGGATGAGGCCTCTCCTTCCGGACCGGAGTGAGATTAGTCGGGTCCCGTAAGGATTAACCCGGACACTCACTCCGTCAGCCAAAAAAAAAAAAGGTACATGTTTTTGGCACTGGGTACATGTGTAGTCTGTCATCTGGTGAAAATGAAGAAAGTTCGGTGTTTTACACAAATTAAATACTAATGAAATATCCAATTTTATTCTCTTAATACTACTAGTAAATAAATTAGATTATCATACGATTGTACAAAAATAGATGAGGGGTACACAAGTAAATTGCATGGGCAGCTCAGCTCTCCTTAGTCCCTAGTCCTTCCCCTCCACTGTTTGTGCATTGTTTGGGGCTGGGGAGAGAGATAAAAGCTGTCCCCACCAACCCATTTTCATGGTAAAAACTAAAATCCACAAGCAACGAAACAAAAAACAAACAAAAGAAAACTTCAAACCAACAACATCTTCTTCGCACAGACACACGCCCGCACACAGACTTTCACTCCCCTCACTTTCTCTGTCAATTATTCTCTCTTTTTGCTTCCCCCAGGAGGAGTAATCAATCAGGTTGGGTAAGTAAGAATCTGGTAAGAGAAGAAGGTGAAAAAAATGTAAAAGAAAGAAAGAAAGAGACTGGTAGACCGGAAGTAGTAATAAAAGCGAGGAAGAAAGAAAAAGAAGGGACTTCTTGTAGTTGTGGGGGGGAAGATGGGACGAAGAAAGACTACTACTCTTCCTTTTCCTCGTGGTTGATAAGCACTATTGTAGAGTTTCTCGTTGCTAAACAAGATAAAAATACTCTCCCTACAAGCTCATTTACACTCTCCATAGCAAGTCAAGAAAAGGGGTTTTACTAGGAAGAAAAAGTAAAGGAAGAGAGAGAGAGAGAGATAGATAGAGAGAGGAGAGATGGTGGGCTCAGGAGCATCAGATAGGAGCAAAGAAGCAGTTGGGATGATGGCCCTTCATGAGGCCCTCAGAAGCGTCTGTCTCAACACAGACTGGACTTACTCAGTCTTCTGGACCATTCGTCCTCGCCCGTATGTCACTTACTCTCACTTTCTCTCTTTTGTCTTCCTTTCTTTCTGTGTCAACCAACTCTGTTTTCCTCCGTCCTTTTTGGGATTAATCTGCCCCTTAGTATTATTGCTGCCATCCCTTTTGCTTTTGATTTTCTTTTTTGATGTTTTCTTTAATCTCTCATTTGGGTTTCCTCCATTCCTTTCAGGAGGGTCAGAGGTGGCAATGGTTGCAAAGTTGGTGATGACAATGGTAGCTTGTAAGTGTACATAACACTAGAGTACAACATTTTGCTTGCTTTTTAGTTTTAAAAAAAAAAAGTTTTCTTGAGAGCATGGAAGCGAGAAAAACGTTGTACTGACCATTTTGTTAAAGAATAACTTGCTTTAGCATGGTACTAAGGAGGACTCTTACTGGCAGAATAGATGTGTGTCTCTTTTTTCTCGTGATTTGTTGGTATTATTCACTAGCGGACTGGATTTTGTGGAATTGAAGGTTACTTGGTTAAATTTTCTGCAGGATGTTGATGTGGGAAGATGGATTCTGCAGAGGAAGAGTTGGGGAGTGTTTGGATGAAATTGAAGGCGAGGATCCTGTCAGAAAAGCCTTCAGCAAAATGTCTATTCAACTATATAATTATGGAGAAGGGTGGGTACTGGGTAGGTGCTTTGGTATTGGATTTCAATTTTGTCTCACTCGCACAACTCACTTTCTCCACCAGCTGGATGCTTAGAGTTAATATTAGTTCGCAGGCTTAAGGCAATTTAGGAGATTTTTATTTTAGCTCTTGTAGGTTAGTATCTGGTACTATGCGGATTCTGATTGTATGAATTGGTTGCAGGTTGATGGGGAAGGTGGCTTCTGATAAGTGCCATAAATGGGTTTTCAAAGAGCCTACGGAATGTGAACCGAATATCTCCAATTACTGGCAGAGTTCATTTGATGCTGTATGTATACATCAAAACAGAACACTTAACTGTGATTATCTTCTCTGGTAGAAAGTAAATACCGTGTTTAACCATCTGGCAAAATAATGAATCCCGTTTTGGGCGTAGGGTATTATGGTAGTATGCCAAAAGTGGGCTTAATCTTGTAGTTCAATTATTTGTCTGGTAAAACATGAAAACCATGATCTAGACTGATGAATCCTAAGTACTTTTGGTTTATTAATTGCAGCTTCCTCCCGAGTGGACTGATCAGTTTGAGTCAGGTATTCAGGTCAGAAATCAAAGTCCAGCACTATTATTGCTTCTGTCCTGCCTTTTCCTTTCTATATTTGGGTGTTTTGTTCAAGTTTGCTTCATTATTTACTCTTTTTCTTGCTTAGTCAAGTCTTGATTTGTTTTCACCAGACTATTGCTGTAATTCAAGCTGGCCATGGCCTCTTGCAGCTCGGTTCCTGCAAGATTGTGAGTTTTGATTACTGATTCTTTTGCCCTTTTCTTGAACTTGAATACTTAGCATAGCCCGTGAAAGAAAAAGTAACTGGAGATGAAAATCTTTTTATACTTCTCAGATACCTGAAGACCTCCACTTTGTGCTGAGAATGAGGCACACATTCGAATCTTTAGGCTATCAATCAGGGTTTTACCTATCTCAGTTGTTCTCTTCCACAAGGAATAGTTCATCTCAATCTGGAGTTCCTATGAAGCAGCCTACCATGCCTATTCGCTCTCCCCCTCCCCTCTTCAGTTGGGGTCCCAGGCCGATTCCTTCAGCAAATGCAGTCCTTGCATCTCCCAGCTTTCAAAACTCTGCCAGGCTTGGAATACCACCGTCCAAAGATGAGACTCATATGTTCCTTCTTCCTCATTCATCTGAAGCAAGAATGGAAGATATGATGGGAGATCATGAACATGACATCAAGTGGCCTAATGGATTGACATTCTTCAATGCTCTCACCGGACGAAGTGACGATGCTAAGCTTTTGTTCAATCCTGATGGTTTAGGTAGCAAGGCAGAGCAAAATCATCATCCAAATCCAAATTCAGATGCTTCAAGTTTGCATAACAGTAGCGGTGCAAATCCAAACGAGTTCTTGAGCTTGGATAGCCATCCAGATAGCGTTAGGAAGATGGAGAATAAGTTCAAGAGGAGCTTTACATTGCCTGCAAGAATGAATTCATCTTCCTCATCCACCTCACTAGATCACCATCAACATAATCCTGGAGAGTATAGGAATGAAGCAGGGATGTATTCTGATGTCATGGAAACTTTCCTGGAGTAATTTGGCAAGGATTGTATGAGGGCATTAAGGGTGCAAACTTGTATTTAGGCAGCCCTTGAGCTCTCCCTTTGTCTCGGAATCATGTTTGTTTTAGACTTCTAGTGCTCTTGGTATCTTGTTCTTTCATCCAATGGACAGTTTTCCATGTTGTTTTAGATTCTCAAGTTCATCTTAGTGAAACATCTAACCCCCAAATGGCCTATAAAATCGGCCATTATGGAGACTACATATATGCTCAAAAAACCTACATGGAGAGCTCAATGCTACGTTACTTGGAAACATTCATCAAAGACCTAACCTCCGACTGGTAAGAAATGGCTTGGTTTTTGCTTTACTCCATGGTGTGGAAGGTCGCGGGTTCAATTCAGTCTACTGACTGCCCTTCCCCTCCCACGGTGACAAGGTTCGCAATGTAGAGCAGACCATGCTGGTCCAGATTTGAACGTGCAAAGTTACCATATTTACATTTCCTGTTTCCTGTTCTAGATTCCACTGGTGGCCAATGAGGCGAGATTTTCTCTGTTACTTTTTTTTTCTCCATTCATCTATCTATTTTTAAAATTTATACAATTAAGTTTTTCTACAATAATTTGTTTATGTTAATAATTTTATTTTTCACAAGCAGGTCAACATACTCAAAAATCAAACTCATCTGTGAATGCTTTGTGATTCAATTTGCCCAGAACATTTTGATGGTGCAAAATGGGCTAAAATTATGATGAAAGTTGTAAGGTTTTATCCATCCAAAAAGTAAAATTTAATCAATTTAGTTTCATTTTTTTTGTATATGCTTTAAACAAAAATAATATTATAATCATGCTCATTTGGGTGTAATTGGCAGAAAATTCTATACCTAACAATAATAGCCTGCCTCTCGACTTAATTTGTGTGTTTCACAGATGTTCAAAATCCACGTCTTCTATGTAACATCAATTCAAGAACTGGGATGAGGGGCCTATTTACGACCCCTCCCAATTGGCATCACCCTTGATCATGTAATGGTGAATCCTTTATTCTGCATGATTTTGTCTCAAGTATCCTAAGGAACAATGGATTGACCCTTGTCGACTTATGGTCCTACGCTCCTATAGGATAAGCCATTCACTGGGGTGATCCTTTTTTTGAGTGCCGTAATTCTTTAAATGCATTCCAAGATTAGATACCTGACTTCACCCGTCGAGGAAGACTATATATATATATGGCTATGTAGTGTTAGTGGGTTGAATAAACAAGACAAAAAACTGCCGTCTTGTCTTCAGTATACTGTATCTGGGGTTTCCATCAATCCTGATCTCAGGGCCGGGTGACTGCCATGCGAAATATAATTAGGCAAGTGGCAACCCATATAGGTCATATTTGTCTCTTTCTAGTTACTGCAACATCCCACTTCAACCACTGAATGGCTGAGGGGGAAGATTTCTAACTTGTTTCTACTCGAGTTGATGTGACAAATGCACCTTCCTTGACATTTTGGCCCTCACTCTCGACTGGATTTGGAGCAGACGAACTTGATTTTGCCATGGAAAGATTCTTGTCTGTTTGGTTTATCCGGCTTCATTGTTGTTCTTGTAATATCTACTGATGAGGAAGTGGTAATTCTTGGCTAGGATTGCTCGATCCCATTTTGAGTCCACGAGATGTGCTTACAAGTTAAAAATAGAGGATCCGCATCTTTCAGCACATCCAAGGGCAGCAAAAGTCTGTGCAGACTTGCTCGGTTGGGGCATCAAGGAAACTGTTGCCGTTGGATTCTTCCTTTTATCATTCTCCGGCGGCTTGTCTATGTTGCACCACCGGAAAGTTTCCACAAAGTTATTGTTTATCCAACCATTTCATATTTGCACATTGAGCCACACTCGTAGAGAAAAAACAACAATATTGTGTACTGCTACTTTGTCTGGTAAAGATGTACAATTGTTAGAAGACAAAATGCTTCAATTTTGCACAACCCAGTACTTCTAGTATGTAAAATATAATAATATGTTTACAAGCGACTGCGAAACATTTGGACCAATTCTTACTTCAACATTGTCGTGGATGCTGTGTTGTGCAGTAATTTTTAGGGAGGAAGCGTCGAGTATGGAAAAGGAATTAACAATGGAATGCAGGCGAATGAGTCCTAGTTTCTTATAAATGCTCTAAAAGATAAATTTGGTCTTTAACATCAACATCTTCATTAAGATGAAATGATGATTCTGAACTATCAATAACGGGGCTTACAAGCCAAACCCCAATAGCTTTAATTGCCTGATTTTAGTTACACGCAGTTTTTCTTTCAGAGTCAAAATCAGTTTTCTAAGATTAGCTCGCAGATGCCAAGTAATTAAGTGATGGATTATGTCCAGCAGCAGTGAACCTGAGGCAGGAAATGGAAAAAAGGGAAAAAAGGAAAACCATTCAACCAATGATTCACTATCACTATTATCACTTGTCTCAACCTTCAAGCCTCTTATTTCTTTTCAAAACACTTCCGCGAAGATGGTTTCACAGCATGACATTCTTTGCATGCGGACGCAACAGCCCTCAAGAATTTCAGGCCAAACCACGTTCTTCTAGCAATTGTCCAATCCTGGCCTTGCTTCTTTGACTTGCATACTTGATCTCTTACAGAAATTTTAGCCTTCCTTGCTCGTGAAACTTGATGCATCATAGCTGGCGCCGGTGCAATGAATTGCCACCTTTGAGAAGAGCCGTAATGTGGAGTCAAAACAGGCTTCCTTGTTGCTTGGTACAAGTCTTTTTCAACAGGGTTTTTGCCAGCAATTTTTGTCTGATTATTGCTGAATAATTTGCTGTCCGATGTACACGGTCCTGCAGCCTCACTTGTGCTCGTTCTTGCACTGCTGCAGCTACTACTTCTGCTGCTATTCGTACTGTTGCTTCGCGACGACATCAATGAATCTTTGCTGCATACGCTGCTGGTTCTACTAGTTGATCTTGAGAAACTGATGACGTTGTTTGTAGGCTGACATGGGAAAGCATGAGGTAAAAGTATGCCATTGAAGAACAAACGATCTGCTGTAGAATTTGGTGAACCTGGTGTGACACAACCAAACTCGAAATCTTGATCTTGAATTGGGATGATTGGAAATGAAAATTTGTCCCCGGAACTGCTTTTTCGCCTGTGGATTTCCATGGAATTTGATCAGTTCTAGACTAATGAATTCAAGTGAGATATAGAGTGCTGGAGAATGATTTATACAGAATTAAAGTTGGGTGATATGAACAAGGTAAGAGGAATGGCTTTATGCCTAAATGTGGGATCACTGAACAAGCAATGGACCCCTTGTTGGGGCATCTTGATTAGACCTGGTGGTCAATATCATGTATTAGAACCTGCCAACTTAAGCCTTAATTAAACTATCTGATTTGTAATGATACTAGGAGCGTGTGGCTTAATCCAATGAAATTTGTTCTGAATTGGTTAAAGAATGGCAACAAAGAATGTAATGCCTTTTGATATATCAGTGGCTTCTTGTAGAATAGTTTACTGGCTTTCTTCAACTTCTCAGCCAAAACATAAGGATACATTTAAACTATATCACACTCTTGATCAAATCCCTAGCTTCCTACCATGATAAGTAATATATTAGAGATGTGCCCAGTGGAACTAGGTAAGTCTGCAAATCACCCGGGTGAAGTTTCACCAAGATTAACCATCACTAGAGTAGTTAGCCACCACGTCAAGGGTTCAAACTTTGCCTCCCATCATGTTGTTACTAATGTGATTTCTCTTAGATCCATGTAGGTGCGTAGTGCATCCGTATTGTCCGATAGTGATTCAATCTCTGTCGATTCCCCTTGACTCAGTTAGGTTACCCCTTAGAATAGGTTAGAGTAGGAGTAGGAGTAAACGGTGACAATTGACAAAAAAATCCAAAAAAAATTCACCAAGATTCTTTATCTGGTAGAGATTTACAGCATTGATGGATGGCAAGGTTTCAACAAACTTTACATTTTGATTATATGGTTGACAGACGATCGGACGATCAACTTTGAATAGAAAAATAATTGTCCACACAGGTGAAACATTGAAGTATCCAGTCTTTTTAATTTAGCCAAAGTGCCATAAAAAGACACCAAAGCAGGAGTATAATTTTTACTGATCCTTGTTTTGTTAATAGCTATTGAATGGATATGCATGAGTCTCTGTCCATTTGCTTTTGTAACTTTATCCCTTGGAACAACACAACTTCCAAGAATACTTTGCTGAAAAGCAAAAGAGGATTAGAAGTGCGAGAAAAATTATGGAGTAGTAGTAAAAAGTATTCAAGTGTTGGCATATTGGGTTGTCTGGGCTATCCCAAGAAGCTGCAATCATGGGTTCAACATAGCTTTCTTTTGTGTATGGGAGCAAAGGCAAGAATTAGGACTTCTTTTGGAGAAGAAATCAATCCCCATCCCACTTTTTCCAATTTTATTATAAACCAAAAAAAATTCTCTGTCAACCTCAAGCATGGCGACAACTGATGTCTGCAGAAAATTATTGTCTCCTATTGGGTTTCCTTAGAGGATCATTGGGCCCATTGGTCCCCACTATTGCCTGAGGGACCACAGGTCCGCCAACGTGCCGCCACCCAGAAATTCAATGGTTAATCGTCATTGTTGGGCCTCCCAAGTGATGCTGAAAAGTTTGAGGCTACTATTCTTTCGGCTGAATTGCTCATTCCACAATTGGTTCTATCAGCACTACTCCGACCCAATAAACCCACCCACTTCTCTCCAGCATTTATCTTGACCAAATCCAGCTACTACTATTTCCTTTTCTGCTTATCACAATTAAGTAACATTTTCCATTTTCCATTTTGTATTTTATGATTTTATCTTTGGTCTGATGTCATTTTTTTGTATACGTTCTCATTTGTTATCATTACTACTATTTGACTTAGGGGAAGGGAAACGAGTGGCTGATAAAGGAGAATTCATATCTTATTTTGCACTGTTCTAATTGTGGAACATAAATTATTATGACAAAATTGATATAGGCTGTAATGAGCCCTTAGCTTTACCATACCAGTTGAGTCTTCTTCTTCTTCTTCATGATAGTATACATGTTTGTGATAACTAATGACTGAAGAAAGAATACGCGGTTGGTAGAATACATGTTTGATTGTCACAATTGGAAATCTATAAAGGAGAAGTTTGTGTTTGGATAGGAGTTTATTTGACATAATTATTGTAACATTTTTTATGATGTGATGTATGCGAGATAAAAAGATGTATTGAAATTTGTATTTATGATGCAAGCAAATTATTTTTTTCTCAAATCATCCCAATCCAAACACACTAGAATCTAATTTCAAACTTCTTGCACATATATCAATAGTTATATGTTCATAAATACATAATATTTATAAAAGATGAAAGGGTGAAAATTTAACAATTTCACAAAAAAAAAAAGGTTTGAACATAAGTTAAAAAAAATAAAAAGGTTTTGACAGTGATTTGATATCACTAAAACTTTAACACAACTGAGACGGGAAAAAATGACATATAACAAGGGGATGAAAATTGAAGTAGCCGCATTTTAAATCAATAGACTTGAGTTGACAAAACAAATAAAAGGTAAAAAAATAAAGGAACACGCAATTTGTAGTAAGAATTTCAAACATATTACTTGATATCTTGAATGTCATTTACTAATTTATTTAAAATTTCTTGCAGGATTTAAGAGTCGAATTATAAATCTTAGGGATAATTTCATAAATTTCCCCTAAGGTTTCTGACAGTCTCACACCTCTCTCCTAGGGTTTTTAAAATATCAGAAACTTTCCCTAAAACTAAGTAGGCAATCTCAAATCCAACCCAATTAAAAAATACAAACAACTAAAAATGGGGAGCTGGAGAGAGACAACAATTTGATACCACAAATGCCCTCATTGTCTTGCATTAGTGAGATAATATCATATGAAAAATAACCAGAGAATTTAACAAGAATGAAACCTCAAGGGGGTGCAAGTGAAACTAATGACTGAATGAAGGCTTGAACTTCAGTTTCACACCTAGAAAGCAATGGCTCTTTTCTGGTCATTATTTGCAACGTCTGTGTGCAATGACCAATTCACAAGCCTATTTATAAGAGCAAAATGCAGCAGCAAAGGTGAGAATCTAGAGCATTCTATGTCATGTATCAAGCTTTCTTTGACATATATCAACAATAGCTTAAAGAGACTAATTGAAATGACTTGTTGTACCCGAAACTTTCTAGGCCATATATCAATTATCAACTGGCGCCTAATTTTGGCGTCATTTTGTTCATGGCAACTTATATATTCATTAAAGGAATCTAAATAATCGTTGATTATATTAACCGTATTCATAACTAACTTAACTAAATTTGTCTAGATAATTGCAAAAATATCTGTTAACTATGCAGGTATTTAAGTATTTTTGCTAACGATGATGTAAGAAATAGGACCAAAAATTTTGTCTAGGGAGGTATCTAATATTTTGGAAACCTCAAGGGAGGGGAGTGAGACTGCTAGAAATCTTAGGAGAGGTATATGAAAATTTCCCTAAATCTTATGATGATCTAATTAATGTTCTTATCGGGCGAAATTGGGTCATTCAGTAAATTATTGGGAAAATTGCAGAAACCTCCCATGAGGTTTCTAACACTCACACTCACCTCTCCTATGGTTTAAGAAATAGCATTTGACCTCTCTTGAACTTTGCTGATTCTTTGCATATTCAGTCTAAGCTGAAAAAAGTGACATTAAAGTATTATTTTAGGAAGTGAGATGAGAAATTTGTACCAAATTTGTCCTTTGTGCTACGTACCAAATTTGTCCTTTGTGCTACATACCAAATAGGTTGTATTAGCAAATAGTATTAGCAAAGGAATGACAAAGTATTACAAATCAATGCTAATACCAAATAGTATTAGCAAAGGAATGACAAAATATTACAAATCAATTAACAATTAATAAACTTTAAAGGTTGTAGTCTTTGGACAAATGGGCATTACCTATTCAAAGTACCCGTTTTTTATGGGCATCTTACTCTCAAACATTTAATTTATGATAAATACATCAATGTTTGTAAATAAAATTCAAAAAGTGTTACAGTAATAATCTTACAAAAAGGAAATCTGTAAGTTATCTATTTAATATAGTTTTTTTCCATTACATGAACAAAGTATCGGCTCTTTATGGGCATTTTATTTTGAATTATTAAATTTATGTTAAATACATAAATGTTTGTAATTAAAATTGAAAAAGTGTTACACTAATATTTTTATGAAAGGAAAACTGATAGGTTTTTTATTTAATAAAAGTTAAATATATGAAAGTAAAAAAAAAAAAGAAATTACCCATAACATACCAACTCTTTATGGGTTTCCTTAATTATATGAACAAAGTACTAGTTATTTATGAGCATTTTACTCTGAATCATTTAATTTATGTTAAATACATAAATGTTTGTAAATAAAATTCAAAAAGTGTTACTCTAATATTTTTATGAAAGAGAAACTGATAGGTTTTGTATTTAACATAAATTAAATATGTGAAGGTAACACTTACAGGTGGGTTAATTAGTTACTTAATTTGTTGACAAGAAACAAGGTTTCTTTTGCAAAATTTGTTCATTAGGTTTCTCCAAATAACGAGGGTATAAAAGTAAATTTTTACAATCTTTTGTTAGCAAATCTGGCACAAATTTCTCATTTCACTCATTAAAATAATATTTTAATGGCACTTTTTCTAGCCCGGATTAAATATGCAAAGAATCAGTAAGTTCAAGGGAGGTCAGTGCTATTTCTTAAACCATATGGAAATGAGTGCTAGTATTAGAAACCTCAGGGGAGGTTTCTACAATTATCCCTAAATTATTTTACCTTGATTCGTCATGTAAATATTTTACTGTATCGTTCTTAACTCAAAACGACTTCCCCAAAAAAGAAAAAGAAAAAGAAAAAGAGAATCAGAATGAATAGGAAAAAGGAGAAATTTTCGTAGGGCATTAAAAAAAAGGAAAAATCAATAAATGAAAAAGCCAAAAAAGAAAAAGAAAAGAAAGAAAAAGAAGACTCCAAGCTGATGGCCCTAACACGTCATCATCGATAGTTGCAAAAAGGGCCGGGATTGGACTGGAGTGCACAGGGCACAGGGGGAGGAACCGAAAAATGTTGCGTGTCAAATGGTTGGAGGGGAATGGGAGGCTCGTCAGCCCTTTCCATCCACAGTTGTCTCTCATTAACTCACCTCCCGTTTCTCTCTCAATTCTTTCTGACAATTTCTTCATTTGTCTTCCTCGTCTGGCCTCACACCAATATCAAACTATTTTCCAATAATCATCTATTACATCTACATACAAGATCCGCGGGAATTAGTCTAATTTCTCACCATGGCTGGCAGAGAAATGTTGCAAAAAATGAAGGTACCTACAAACTTCTCCTACCCTAGTATTGGTCGGGATATTGATACCTTTTTTTTATTTTTTATTTTTAATCGGAGTCCGAAAATTGCATCCATTTTTCAATTTACAAAAGGCCCACGTGCACAATAATGCGGTTTGTACTTCTCTGATCATGTATTACCTGCATTCTTGTACGTTGTAACACCATATTGAGGGAACCTGGTACTCATTTTGGTGGAATTTTACCATAGTTACATGTTCAAATGTTGACTTTGCTTAGGAAGAAATGCTTCATGAACCGTATTGTTAAATGTTTTACCTCGTTAAGGGGTTTTAGTTGGGTAGAGTGTAGATAAGTAGTCTGAAGTAAATGACTCTGTTTTGGATAAGGTTGTTTATGCTTAACCAAATTAATGAAAGTTTAAAAAGATTTAATCTTTATCACAGTATTAGATAGTCGAGGGGTTTAAAAGGAAGTTTTCTTGAATCAAATGCATATTAGCAGGGATGTTACCTGACTTAGTTTCCCATCTAACTGACCATAAAAATGCAATCTTGAATTTCCCCGGCTCTTCTACTTTCTTTGGGATCAGTAGCATTTCTTTAAACCATCCTTTAGCAGGGGCCGTCTGGTGCCCAATAGATGCTGTAAAACAAGGCATACTAGCATTCAGTGCATATCTTAGCGTAGTTTTGTTAAATTGACGCCTCGCCCACAGTAGTTTATGTCAGTCTATTAGCATCTAGCCTCTTGAATCTCAGACTATTATGATGGCTTCTGTACTTCTTGTGGGAAGACAGCATATTCATAACCTAAGATGTAACTAAAGCTAAACTGAATGATAATGCTTCCCATTTTTGCAGACCTTAACATGTATACTTTGTTGTGCTTTTAGTATATAGCATGGTCTTTTATTCATTACATTCATGAAACAAGTTCAACTTTAGTAGGATATATGACCATGTTCCTAAAACTGACATTCTGGATATTATTATGGTCTTACATTCTCCCCATTTCTAAAAATATCTTTGTTGGGCAGATTCGAATTCAGTATATGACCTTCTCCCCAAAAATAAAAAGTAAAACAAAAGGAGGAAAAGAATTTAGTGAATGTTAAAATAATGCTCTTCCATTGCATAATGCTTCAATATTCCAATACTCTGTTAAGATACATAGTACAGTTTTGCTGCAATCCCGGAAACTGCTTCTGAATTCTCTTTTGTTTCTCTACAGTAAATCAGGGACAAAATACCATCTCAGGAAATAATTGCTTTGCATTTTGCAGGAAAAAGTGGGTTTAGGTTCATCTGCATCTGAAACAGGAAAAGGTAAGAGTAAAATGCACAAACATGTTACTCATGGTTATCACACAGTTGCCGGGAAAGGACATCATGCTATGGAGGATTATCTTTTTGCACAATTTAAGCAAGTTGGTGACAATGAGCTTGGTCTGTTTGCGATATTTGATGGTCATCTTGGTCATGAAATTCCCGACTACTTGCGGTCTCATTTGTTTGACAACATTTTGAATGAGGTAATGTAAACTTCTGTAGAACAGATTATCTTATTTGCTTAATAGTTATTACCTCCAAAAAAGATCGTCTTATTCCTTTTTAAATTTCTTCTCCTTCAAGAGAATGGCTGTCCTGTAAAAGTTCTGTACTTTTTTCACTGCTGTGGGGGTCTTATTCTTGGTTGATTGATTGCAGTATGATGATTCTCAATCTTAAGAATCTAAACATGCTTTTCTCCTCTTCTGTGTAGCCTGACTTCTGGACTCAAACTGAAAATGCTATTCGAAGAGCATATCGGATCACTGATGCTACAATACTAGAGAAAGCAGTTGATTTGGGTAAAGGCGGCTCAACTGCAGTAACGGCAATATTAATTAATTGTCAAAAACTTGTTGTGGCTAATGTTGGGGACTCTCGTGCTGTCCTCTGCAAGAATGGGGTAGCAAAGCAGCTTTCAGTTGATCATGAACCTAATAAAGAGAGGCAAAACATTGAGAATAGAGGTGGATTTGTTTCAAACTTTCCAGGTATGGAACTCTATAAGTAAGCAGAAATGAAATGCTAGTTACAGTTTTTGGAGGCTGTTGCACTTGCAGCTTCTTGTGCCTCTCTCAATGAAATTACAACATTTAACCAAGGTGACTTTGACTTGTCATGCTTTGTAACATGAGAATCTTGAAGCTTAGTAAACTGTGGTTTCTAAGAATGGGAAGCCTTGCTACTAGACTCTTCTTCTCGGTATCATAGGTTGGCTTTGGACCTTCGATGATACTTGTATCTCTTTGTGTTTGATTATTTTTAAATTTCAAACTTTAGTGGTATGCAAGAGTTATTTTGGTAGAATGCTTTATGAAAGAGTATCCTATGCACATGCTGCAGTCTTTTCATAGGACCAAGGTCATGCCTTACCAATAGTAGAATTAGTTGGGTTCTCAAGATCTAAGAGATCTTTTAGTACTTTTGACTGAACATAGACCTGGCGGTAGTACGAAGCTCTTATCAATTGACTTACATTTGTTGATGATTCTTATCATTCAGGTGATGTTGCACGTGTTGATGGACAGTTAGCAGTTGCAAGAGCATTTGGTGATAAGAGCCTGAAGCAACACCTCAGTTCTGAACCGGATGTTGCTGTAGAGATCATAGATGACGATACAGAGTTTGTTATCTTAGCTAGTGATGGCATATGGAAGGTCAAACTTCTCATCTTTAAAATTAAACTCATATTTGTGATTTTCTATATTTATTAGCTGTTAATATAGGATATTACTTTGCTGAATCTTATCTGCAATCAAGTGACATGGTGGACTGTGTCCATTCATGGATGAAATGATGGGATGTTTAGTTATGCGTGTTCGTGGTATTGAAGTTATTGTGGTGCATGCTTAAAATGGATAAGAGTGAACATACTCTGAAGCTGCCATAGACAATTAATTTCAGGAAGAATACTTCCTAAAAATCTTTTCTATTCTAGGATGATTAAAAACAGGGGATTTTAAGCATCAAACAGAATTGAAATGCTGAACATAACTAGACGAGGGAAGATGGGTATCCTGCATAAGAATAAGTGAAGAGATATGTTCACCATCCTATGCTAAACAATGTATTAGGTGATGTTGTATTTCGGTGGTTCTTTTGGACTGGAGATATTTGATTGAATTGTAAGCACTGCAGCTACTTGTTAAATTAGCGCTCTGGTTTTGGTGAAAAATGTGCTAGAAGTTGCAATTCTCTTGGCAGGTAATGTCAAATCAAGAGGCAGTCGACTGTGTGAAAGACAAAAAGGAAGCTCGGGCTGCAGCAAAGCACCTTACTGAGGAAGCTGTAGCAAGGAAAAGTAGTGATGATATATCATGTATAGTCATCAAGTTCAAATGATAATTCTGGCCTACTATTCTCATTCTGTAGTTTTCTGATCTGTTCCCTCAATTGTCCAGTCAATTGGCCTTGGACCTCTTGGTTTTTGTACGGGTTTTTAAAGTGCTTGTTGTCTTGGAAAAAAAATGTGCAGAGAAAGTACAGTGGCGTATGTATAAGCTCCCAAGTAAATTGAACTCTGTTCATCATTTGTCTGTCTCAGCATGTTGATTATTCGTGATGGTTTACAACACAATCCCCCCCTCCTTTTTTTGTCTCTGTACTTGCCATCGTCTCGAAAGCTTAAATGTACAATATACTGGTTAAGGTTGCTGTCGTGCTGTTGTACACAGCAGTAAAGTTTTGCCGTTAGCACATTTGTTCTCTGAAATGTAGCTGTCTGGAATTTCGCTGAATTTTTACTGATTGTTCTTTCATATATGAAACATCCCTCGTCTTTGTTCACTTTCTGAGCAATCACTCATACTGATTCAGATTCTTCATATGTCCATCTTAAAGTGATTTTTGAGATTGAGAAGACAAATTTGGGAAAGAACCGTGGTCTTATTTTTCAAGCAAATACACTATGCGAGTCCCAAGAGTCCAGGACTCTGCTAGTTCCTCGTTCCCTAGGGGCTTTCATTTGAAAGGTGCAGAACATAGCTTCTTCCTAAATGAGGACCGTAATTGCCATGATTGTATTTATGCGCTGAGAGTGTATGTAAGAGCGAAGAGAGACCGCTTAAGGTATGCAATAGGGATAATCAACAAACTGCCCCTTTGGAGCATCTCATAAAAGAATTCAGAGTGCAATTTCAGAGGGTAGTCTCCATGCAAGTTGGTACGCTCGAAACTATAAGCTAAAAACCAAAGGTGATGAAACTGTAAAAGAAATCCTTGTTCGGATTTGCAGTTTTCTAAAGTAATTTTTTTTTTTGTTTTTCGTGAACACATTTTCTAATAATCTTTTTATATCTTTTCTTTTCACACATATTAAATTGATACGATACATTTTTTTTTACAAAAATTCTTAAAAATAACAATCCAAACGGGATGTTTCTTTTTCATTTTCCCTTTTTTTTGCTCTCTCTCTCTCTCTCTAATAGAAGCTCTAATTCATAATATCTTGAAAAGATATTTCAACTTATGAACCAGCTTCCGCTCATCACTAGACAGATCTTCCCAAAAATATGTCTTAAGAATGTCAATTGACTCCCTAGTGATATGGTTGACAAGCTCATCTTCAATACCAAAATGCCTTCCAAACTACTTCTGCTGCTCCTCAGGACAACGATCAATGATCTTAATGGTCACCCTTTGACCTTTCTTGGCATCATCAACTGGTATGTCACTGCTATTGATTAATTCAATATGGCCAATATCAATGAACTCCTTTCGAGGAATACATAGTGGAGTTCCAATCTTTGCAACGCCATCAAGACGTCCATCCCCAAAAGAATGGGACCCTTCTTTTTGAAAACGGTGTTTGGTATGGTCTCAAGAACACGGGGGAATGCTGCATCTCCAGCAGTTCTCTTCTACTCCTCCTCCTTGAGATAATCAATATGAGGCTTAAACTGATCAAACAGCTGATAAATAACATCTGCGCAGAACAATTCGATACCCAGTTTATCTGCAAGTTCCCAAATTTCCAGCGTGACCTCGACATCAAAAGGCAAAATGGAAGCATATTCTCTCTTCTTCTCAAGCATGATGCTCCTTTCTTTGCATCTTTTTCATCCACAGGGCCAATGCTTATAATGCTGAAAGGTATATTAACTGCAGGATTCTTCAAGAATTCCAAGAGGGCTTCCAAGGAGCCAAGAGAGGCAGCTTTAACATATACTCCCTCCCCTTTTTTCCAATCCTATTCATGGCTGATGTGATATCCTCCATTGCTTCTTTCTTAATACGTTTCACATCGTCATTTGGCTTCACAACAAAAATCCCAGAGCGAGCAATAGCATTCTCAAGACCTTGTGCTGCAATTTTGATACTCTATGCAGCATTGATTTCTATACAAACACAAACAATTGTCCTTCACTCGGAGCTCTTTCAGTGGGTGGGGTGTCAGACTCAATACTATTCGAATTCCATTAACAATAGGACCCTGCGTGCCACAAATAACTATTTGATCTCCTTCATGGAGCAGACTATTTACTAAGACCACTGCAATGGTTGTCCCAAGTCCTTTAACAACCTTAACCTCCAAAACAAATGCACTGCACTTGGTTCTGATAAGTAAGTTCCCGAACCATAGTCCTTTGAGCCCCCTGCACCAGTAAGAGTAACAAGTCTGGGACCCCTTCACCACTAATTGCACTAGTAGGCACAATGTTGAATGTCTCCCCCAGATAGTTGTTTTCGTAGTACAATGCAGCGTTTATTCCTTGCTCCTGGAACTGTATGATAACCTGAGTCAGCCTCTTGTTGAATTCATTTTGCACACCTTCGGACTGTTGCTTCATTGCCTTCACTATGGGTGCATTGTAGCATTTTTTCCATCCATAAGGTTTGTCAACCTTGTTGAGCGCGACTATGAATTGCGTGCCCATCAAGTTCAAAATAATGAGGGATTCGACTGTTTGGGGCTTCAAGCCATGCATGATATCAACAAAGAGAACTGGAATGTCACACAAACCTGACAATTTGTTGAGTAATGCCTCCTACATGATCTTCCTGAACATTAGTGGCACGAAGTTAATCAAGTAACATGGTTTTCCCAGCATCAACATGACCCATAACGCAGCAGATTGGAGAGCGGAGATGACATTCTAATTTTCCTACTTCTTTAAAGGAATTACCTTTTAGTTCTACAACCTCAGCTTCAGGATGAATCTGAGATTTCAAATGTGGGATTGCCTTGAACTCCTTAATGACCATTGGAGGTTTAGGCTCCTGATCACCAGAATCAACATCTACTTCAGCATCTGGACTTCTCCTGAGCAGTTTAAGATCAGCACCATCATCCCAAGTAGTATGTGTTCTCTATGTGCCTCCAATCTACGAGATTCTACCTTTTGCTTACTCGTCAAGAGTTTCCGTTCTTGCTTTTTCTTCAACCGTTTTTCTTTTTCCCTTTCCTTCTTCAAACTTTTCTGCTCTTGTGCCAATCTTTCAAGCTCTTCTTCCCTGATCCTCTCCTCTTCTTCTTCCCTCAATCTCTCCTCCTCTTCCCTTTTTCTCCACTCTTCAGCTTGTGTTAAGTAAAGCGAGCTTCTCATGGATCTCCGTCACATGCTTTGGAACTTTCCATCTTTTCATTCTTGTTCTTATATCCTTGCTCTCTCCTTGTGCAGTGCTACTACAATTCTTCATACAAGGCTTGGACGGCTTCTTCTTCTTGTCCATCTGATTCATTATGCAAAAATAACAAGGGGATACTACTGCTATTCGTTTTTTGGTTTATGAAAGAGTTTAAATCTGACAAGAAGAAACCTGAGTGTCAAGGTCTACTGATTAATGTCCTTAATTACCACTAGACTTTTTTTTTTTTTTGGGACAGTAAATGAGGCTGTAATTAATCCAGATAACAACATTTGTGTTTCCAGTTAATCAGAAGTATCTCTCATCTTCTCCTACTCTTCCTACGTCTATCATCATTTTTGCTATCGCTTTCACTTTCTTCCAAGCTCGAGGATGATTCAGACGAATCTGACTCATGAGAACTAGAAGTACCGATTCATCAGATTCAGAAAGAGGCTTCTGCTGTTGCATGGCAAGGCGAGGCATGTTCTTCGGATGCTCTAGCAGATTTTCCGTAATACCACCTAGACCAATTGATGTGAAAAAGTTGACAGAAAACCTAGTGTTTCTTGGATTATCCTTGGGAAAAATCCACTCAAAGGAGTCCCGAATTGTAGGGTCATTTAGCCGCTTGTTCAGCAAGCCGATACCAAGGTGCACAGACGATTCCTGGAAGAGAATCTGGATGAAATACGGGAAGAAGATGTTGTCTCCTCTCCTCTGTCAATCGTATGTAAGACAAAACGTGCCAAGGTAAAGCATCAGTGCTAAGCAAGTAGGCAAAAAATTTGGCCACATTACGCAGTTTACTTGTCTCAAGTCGATGGATCATAGAGTACTGTTAGACAAAGCATTTTTCAAAATTTTCTTGATGAATCTTGTTGATCATGCAAAACCGTTGGCCAAGAAGTCCATATTACGGAAGGTAAGTCCTCTTCTGGCTGCAGCACTCCAACGACATAATACACAATTCCATCTCCTGACCAGGCTCTAGCTTGATTTTCAGTAGGTTATGACCAGCTTCTTCATAATGGGCCAACACAAAACCACAATGTGTGTCAAAACAATTCCATTATACACATTATGGTTTTGTTTTGGAAAGAAAAGGAATAAAAGAAAAGAAAATAACAAGGTGTGGCAGAGGCAAGGGAACAAGATTAGGAGAAGAATCAGTATCTCATAGTAATAGTAGCTGATGGCAAAAGAAGTCCATGGATTCTGAGCATAATCTTCTGATCTTGCAGGCAATTTTGGCTGAATTTCGAACATGCTGTTATTTACACTACTTCCCAGCCCCTAGATAGGCAGAGCTTTCCAAAGCATTTATATTTAGGGTACAAAACTGACGTGCAGCCTTGGTTTCTTACGTTTTATTGAAATAGTGAAATGTTGAATCTATTGTTGTTCCGTTTATGATCGTATTTTAAGTCTGGTCTTAACGAAGGAAGCACTGTAGAGAGCAGGTAAATTTCTTTGCAGAAAATGATGGATTATCCATGACAAATGTTAATAGGCCTTGGAGAAAGAAATGACGAGATTCTAATATACTCAACTGATTAATCTGCTGAATTTAAAATTAACCATGCCCCTTTGTTTTGATGATAAGGTCCGTGGATCAGGTAAGTAGTGAAATCATGAATCGTGGATCCCGCCATCCTGGAAAGCCGACGAGAGAAATGGTAATCCATTTCGAGTTCAAGTTCAGAATGTTACTGCTGTTACCAAAATTGTCTCTCCGCTTTGGAAATTGAAGAGTGTTCTTCAGCTGCACACAAGCTGGAAACAGAAACCTTTGCATGTAAGTTTCATAATTGTTTTGATATTGCATCTTAGTGCTTTATAATGTAATAAATAATGAATCCACATTGCTTAGATTTTAATCAAAGAAACAGAAAAAGAGGGAAAAAAAGATTCCCTGGACAGTACATTTGCCACAGAATTGGAGTAAACAATGTAGATCTGTGCGCTAGAACTTAGAGATAAAGAACTGGGGTGTAAATGAGCATAATCAAACTGAACATCCTAATATTCAAACTTATTGAATTATTTTAACGAGTTTCAAAATTTTATTTAAATTTAACTTGTTATTTGCCGAAAATAACTTGAATGAATTTTTAATCAAATTTAAAAGTTGCCGAACATAAAATTTTGTTCAACCTTGGGTTGACTAAGTGACAAATCAAGCTTGAAAGCGAGCTCTTACTAAGCCAAGCTCGATTTGAGTATTGGGAAGCATGGTTCATCTTTCAGCCTTATGAAGAACAAAAATTTACGCCTCACAGGGGAGTTGAAGGTAGATTCAACACTGAAATAGTCTGGACTAACTGCTAAAGTTAGGACAATACTGCCCATTACAGACCGCATGGAGGAGAAAAGTGAAACAATTGCAAGTAGAAGTTATCAAAAGTTGTGCAAACTAACTAGGCTCGAAGCTATGTCATAAATGGCATAAATATTCCATAGGATGACAGAAGAGAGTAAGCAACTAATGAATGCCTAATGGATGTGGAGTTTTTGGTGGTTCTCTGGTAAAACAATTGGGGTTCTTCCTCTTTCATCAACCTGCCTGCATTGATCTTTCTTGGCTCCCGGATTCGATCCTCGTCGTCCTGATCCTTCTCCACGAGATTCAGTAAAGTGCTTGCGGCGTCGCTCATTGTGTCCTGCTAAGCGTCGGCGACAACTTCTCTTTGCCTCATCAAATTCTGAGAGGTCGTGGAATCTGGATAGACAATATAACCAAGTCTTGGACCTTGCAAATTTGAGAACTTACGCGATAACAAAAGCAAAAGATTGTCAAGAGGAAGATAACTGGCAGAAAATAGCCAAAAGCCCATCAACTGGCATTTGTTTATCCTAATAAAGATCAAACAAGATAGAAGCTATCATGAAAGGATAAATTTGTGAAGAAAAAAGCCCGGAGATACTAGGACTTCTAAAGAATATTTATGATCTGAACTAACTGAAGTACCAGAGTATGGTCAAATTTCTTCATCACTGCTAATGAAAATTGTTTAGGGCTTGCTTGATCCATTTTTAGTCAGGAGTTCCTTGTACACAGCTTTTGTCAAACATGATTCTCAGAAAGCTAAGTTCTCCATTACGCAGATACTCTATGAACTAGTAGTCTTCAATTCCAAGATCCCACTGAATGATTTTTTTTTTTTTTTGCTGTGTTACTGGGAAATTTCACAAAAAATGTCACTCGTATACAGCGTAATAACCAAACATATTTCAGAAGAACGTTGACTGGGATACATCACAGCTCAGTCTCCCTGACGGCATGTCAGTAAAACTGGCCATGCTTGAAGTAGGAGGCATTTTAAGTACACTATTTGATGTACGGTCGAAGGCTCAAAGGTCTTTGGCGGAACATTGACAAAAATACATTCCCTGCTACATCGTGGCATACGAGTCCATTTTGATGACCAGCTGGAATTTTAGTTTGGAAGACTTAACAGTTATCTAAAGAAGCTACACCATATAATTTTCCCAACTTGTTCAGTAATGCACAAGTATAGTGATACAAATCAAGATGCTCTTTAAACATTATCTGAAGGATTGTTCTTTAATCTTCATCTGAAGCATTTTAGGATGTAGTATTCCTAGTTGATAATCAGTAGTTCATTCGAGCCCTGAAGGACACTTGATCTATCGACAAAGAAGGCCACGGTTGCGTACTTCATTGCATGTTTAGTCACAGCTTTGACACATTTGCATATCTTATTTCCTAATTATGGGTTTGTTTTTTCCCATTTTTTCCCTGTGACAAGACAACAGAAACTTAATTTATGAATTTAATCACATTAATATTTTCCTAATCATGGTTAATTCTTCCAGAGGAGGTACGATGAGATAAACAGCTCGTAACTATGTTTCTATTAATTCGGAAATAAGCATAGAGGATTTGGGAAAGCAGGAAAAGAAAAAATTGTCTTAATGAGTCGAGTTCTACAAACCTGCTGCACTGCTGACAGAACCTCTGCTTCAGTCCTTCAACCACGACAACTTCAGCCTTAGCATGATACTCACACACCTTGTGCCTCTTGTGGTAGCTCTTTGAATCAGTAAGATCAGCCTTACAATTCTCCGCCCGGCAGCCCGGCGGTGGTGCCACTGCCACCGCTCCACCACCACCACCAGCACCTTCAGCAGCAGTTCTTGAACCCCTCTTCCTTGGACCCTCATCAAAATTCATTCTTTTCTTCTTAAGCTCAGGCTCCACCTCAATTTCTGCTCCAAAACCACCATTACCATCTTCTTCTTCCTCCTCCTCCTCCTCCACCTCTTCCTCTTCCTCCTCCTCCTCCTCTGTGTCAGTCTCTGCCTCTTCCGTCACTTTCTTGGTTGGAGCAAACGGGGAATGCACGGCTGATGATGATTGCCTAAGGTGGTGCATGTGAGGCTCCATGATGATAGCGACCTTGTGGAGGGCTCTTTCTTTCTTATAATTCAATTCAAGAAACTAGAGTGAGAAGACTACAAGAGGAGGATGCGAAAGACTTGAAAGATATGGGGTGTGGGAAGAGTAATCAATGGAACTGAAGGCATGCTGAGACAAAGCTTAAAAAGTAGTACTAGTACAATACTACAACATTAGAGAAAGAGAGTGAGATGGAGAAAAGAGAACTGAGGGAGTGAGGACCACTACAATTTCTCCGCACTCTTCTTAGCTCCTTTTGTCTGCATCCTTCTTCTTTTTTTCTTTTTGGGGGTACAAATCCCCTTTGTCTGCTTGTATAGTTGTTCTTGTATTTGTATAGGCAATATGCAATCATGCATGCCCTTCTGCGATTGTTAGTGTGTGTGTGTGTGTTTTTTTTTTCTTTTTTTTGGGAATAATGAATTGGGATAAGTACTTGGGTAGTTTGAGAAATATGTAGCTTAACAGATGGAGGAGGGGAAGGCTCTGGTTTGCTCTTAGAGACTTAGGCTTAGTTTGGGAGTTTAGGATAGAAAAGAAAAGAAGGGAAAGCTTAAGTTATGAGAGAAGAGAAGAGAAGAGAAGAGATTGTTATGTTGTTTGGGAGTTTTGAGAATTAGTGGAATGATTTTGGATATGGAAGTCATTAAATATTTATTCAAGGCATTTTTAAGGATAAAATAGGCATTTTAGAAAAATTAACAAGCTTTCTCCAAACTTTCTCTCCATTTCTTTCCAATTTGGGAGGAAACATTTTTGTCACTATTCATCCTCTCATTTCTTTTCTTTTCTTTCCTACTTAAAACTATCAAACAAAGGAAAATCAGTCTTTCTCTTCTTTTCTATCCAAATCATTCACTCCCAAATGAACCCTTAGGCTGAGGCTGAGGCTAACAGTAGTTGGCGTAGGTGGTCAAATTATAGTTATTAGTGTTATAAATCGTGTTGTCTTGTTTTAGTTGAACAGGGTGCCCATAAATCCCCATTCTCAGTCTTGTCGCGTGGATACACGCTCAATGATTGGATTACTTGGTGGATTCAGGTGACATGTGGTGACCGGGGAAGGATCATTTGCAACTGCAATGGGATATTTTTAGATATATCCCCCCCTATTTTTTTCCTCCCTGTCTTTCCTAATCAGACTATAATTTGTTAAAGTTTTACTTAGTTGATGCATGTATTATATCTATACATTTCATACATTAGCATCTTGTGCATGAAATTTCTTCGTAAAGAAACGAACGGCCAATATAATTGCAGTAACTAGCGCTCTTGCGAGTAGTTCGACCAATTCCGTAGTCTAGTAGTTATTGGCAGGTCTCGTGATCGATACCCGTATATTACCTCGCTTTGTATCCTTGGGGCAAAAGTCTATACCGTTTCTGGAGATTAATCTGGTCGAAAAGTTGAAATACTCCTAAATGAAAAAAAAAAAATAATTTTGCAGCAACTAGCGACTAGCAAGGTACTATAAATGCAGATGCGGCTGCATGAAAACGTCCGTCAAGTGTATCAGAGTTGTGCTCTAATTATAAAGAGGTTGGATTTTGAGATAGGTATGATTGTTAAGGGTTTCAATTCTTTAAAATTCTGCTAAGTTTTGCTTCCCTAGATCTCAAACTATTTGAGTATTTTTCCCTTTTAGCATTAAAACAAACAAGGGGAAACTTGAAGCAGATGGCATTTAAGTTTAACTGAATTTGATGTCATTGTTTTCATTTTGGAGTTGTATCATCTCTCGGGAACAGGGGGCCATTATGTTGGTGTAACAAACAGCCAATCAAGTCCCATGTGTTCGAATTGCAACTAGCAAAAGAGTCAGCAAAAATCAAGAGGGAAATTGTGTTGTTGAACTTTCCGTGAAAATTTACAGTTGAATATAAGGATTGTTTTGTCTTGAATAACACACAGGTTCTCTTGAGATTTTTCCAGAGTTGCAAAACTATATGTAGTCTTATCATTTTCTTGCAGAGGTAACCATGGAATAAGGTGTTGTGACTATAACAAGTTTCCCTAAAATCCAGTGCTTAATTTATCATAATATTTTCTTTGGCTGGCGTCTCAATGTTACTAAAGAAACAATGAAATTAAACTATGGTTAAGATTCTAGATGCAAAAGCCAACAGCCATAAAAGCTTTTAAGCACAGTGCTCGGTTAATGCAGGTGTGCATTATTCAACTGCACAAATGACAGTTGAGAATCTCCAGCCAGAACCCAGAATGATAAACTAGTGTGACTAAATATTTCACCAGCCAGAGCCCAGAATGATGAATTGGCTGGTGGCCAGGCAAACTGAGGAAAGCCTGCCTGTTCTTCTGCTGCTTCTCCCTTTTGGAGGACTTGTTGCATCCCTTTCCAACTCATTATGCAGCGCAGGCAGGAATTGAAACAAGGTTGAAGGGTCCGGTCTCTCCAGCCTGCGTACAATTTCTGTACAAGTTGTTCGTAATCAGCTAAACAATTTCTGGCTGCATTCGGGAATCTGTACGTGCCTCGCTACAACCAGAGATTCAAAGTTGATACTTTATTACTTCCAAAATCAATGACATGCGCAATAATTCAATGATCCTTGTTTGTTTACAAGAAGCAAAACGTTTCCCATCGCTTTCGTATTCATGTATCATATATGGCCCTCAAGCCCTGAACAACAATAATGCTTTCTTACAAAAAAAGGTTAAAAAAATAATAATAATGCTTCTTTTTTCTTTCTTTTTGTCATGAATATATGTTTATCTGTATCTATCTATGTATATACGTTATATATGTCAAAATTTATTTTTACTGATAAGGAGTATAAGTGGATTTTCTTGAAGATTACTATGACCTGACCTCTTGAGAAGAACGTGTTGCTAATTGCACTTATTTCCTTAAATTTTGTCATAATCGTGGGACCACCTTTGTGCTTTAATTTTAATTGGTATTCAATACAAATACACAGTCTCTCTCAAACATAAATTTTTTATTACTCCATAAATTTCTAGGAAAAAAAAAGAGAAAAGCAAACGTTTAATGCTATGTACAAAAAATCTTTTCACTAAATGGGAAGTCAAAAAATTCATCCAGCTAATTCTGTCTCCACTTTCGGGGTTCGGGGTTGTGTTTGGTTAGATCTGATGCGGCTTACTTATATATATATATATATATATATATATGAAAGTAACTATTTTAATCAGAGTAGTTTCTCACTCCTCTGTATCATGCCTAATTGAAGAAAATTAATGGGTATGGGTCATTTGGATTTTACCCATATTGAATCCTATTTGGATTGTATTATATGTTTCAAAATTATCTCTAATTTTAAAATAACTTTAAAAAATAACTAACCTTGTTAATGATATTTCTTTAACAACAACTAATCTTATCTTAATGATTCTGCTTTCTATCAAATTATTACATATAGAACTATAGTAAAATCTTTTTCAAACCACAATTTTGAAATCTTACATATTCCAAATTACTTCCTTAATATAATTACTAAAATCTTACATACCCAAATTACTTCCTTTTACCACCATTTCGTTGATTAGTATTTATATTGTTCATCATTTCTTCCCTTAATTTTGAATTAATTTAGTGTAAAAAAGAGAATTAACTATTATATCGATAGATTTACCAATATTGTTAGAAACTGAATATTTATTGATAAAGAAAAATGAATTGTTGGTTTTTTTCTACTTAATTAAATATAAATATATAGTTCTAGATTCATGATCATTATAAAAATTTAAATTGTCTAAAAGAACATTTGTAAAAGAAAAAGATCTACCAAATTTTTTATATATATATCTGTGTGTGTGTGTGTGTGTAAAAAGTAGATATTTTAATAAGAGTTGTTTTTCACCCCTATTTGGCATGCTAAATTAGGGATGGCAATGGGGCGAAGTCCGTCGGCTCCCACCCAGCCCCGCTTCCCTTGCGTAACTAATAAAAAGTTGTCATATAATTTTTTATAGTCAAATTTTAGCAAATAATTAAGTACTAAAATATCAACACATCACCAAGTTATTATCCATCGTAATTTCACAATTGAAATCCAAAAAAACAATTGAACAAGAGTTATTCGAATATAATCCAACATTATGAAACAAATATAACTAAAGTAGTCAAGTTTTCACTTTTGATACAAATATAATTACTAAGTCATTATTGAGTTTTTTTCGAGAAAAAAAAATGTTATTATGTTAAGTATAATTATGAATTTAGTATAAATGTATTAGTTAATTTAATATAACTAATTAATAATTTCTATTAGTAGACATGCATAATTATTAGTATAATTAATAATATCAATTATATTACAAATACTAAAATCCATTATATAAACATATAACTAATAATATCATTATTATAAATTTGTAACTAATTAAATTAAATATTATATATAATTATACATATATATTTATTATTTTTTAACGGGTGGCAGGGCGGGGGATAAGGCAGGGGTAAATTCCTGCCCCTGCCCCATTTCTAAAGAGGGGAAAAAATTACCCTCGCCCCGCCCCACCACCTGCCCCATTAGCCCCCCATGACACCCGTCCCAATTGCCATCCCTAATGCTAATTAAAGAGAATTAATGGGTTATGAGTCACTTGGATTTTACCAATATTGAATCCTATTTGGATTATATTATATGTTTAAAAATTATCTCTAATTTTAAACTAACTTTAAAAAGAACTAATTTTATCTTAGTGATATGGCTTTGAAAACAACTAATCTTATCTTAATGATTTTGCTTTCTATCAAATTATTACATATAGAACTATAGTAAAATTTTTCTCAAATCACAATTATTGAAATCTTACATATTTCAAATTACTTTCTTAATGACAATTATTGAAATCGTATATACCCAAATTACTTCCTTTCACTACCATACTGCTGATTAGTATTCTTAATTTTGAATTAACTTAGTGTAAAAAAGAGAATTAACTATTACAATGACAGATTTACTAATATTGTTGGAAACTGAATATTTATTGATGAAGAAAAATGAATTGCTAGATTTTTTCTACTTAATTAATATGAATATATAGTTCTAGGTTTAAGGTCATTATAAAAATTTAAATTGTCTAAAAGAACATTTGTAAAAGAAAAAAAAAAGAAAATTTACCAAATTTTTGATATGAGGTACATTATTTGAAGTATACCATCATATTATTGTGAAAGTATGTAAACAAAATTTTAAAAATTAGTAAATAATTGAACATTTAGAATACATTAATTTTTTTAAAGTTAGTGGATGAACATATAGGATTGTTGTTAATTTTT